CGCGGGGCTGTGTGCAGTGGGGCGGCGAGGGGCCTGCCCCCCGCCCGCGTACAGCGCTGCGGGGCTTTCACCTGCGAAACGGACCCGTCGGTTGCGTGTGGGAGTCCGGCTGCTGGCCTGGGAGGGAGGGAGGGAGGGAGAAAGCGGGGTCTCCTTCCTTCTTCGGCACTGGCGGGGCGCGGCTGCCCCTGCCCGGCCCCCGCTGCCGCCCGGCCGCCCCGGCTCCCTCGCCAGTTTTCCGCCTTCTGCTTTTCCGCTCGAGTCCCCGCTGCAGACGTGGAGGGGACAGTGGCACACGGTGATACCTCCCTAGGAAATGCCCAAGGCTTTCCCCTTCAGATACGGTGCCTTTCGACTCAATGGGCTTGGGTAGATTTTTGTCCGATTTGCGAGGCTGAGGCAGCTTTCGGTATCCGCAATATGTTGTGGTAGAGGTTTTCAGAATTTAGTTGTGTGCTTCAAGAAAAAGGGCATCCTCACGTTTTACATTTGGCATCAGATTATATCAGTGTGTTTTTTAATATTTCACACTTTTACACCATGCAAACGTACTTGGTTAGCTTACTGTTGGCGAGTGCAATATTTGTCTTCCTGGTAAGCATAATACTGACAGCATAAAAGCTAGCTTTTTTCACAGATCTTTGACAGCATTCTGGTTGTCCAAATACGAATTAAGTTATGTCAGGTGTTTTTATGTTTTTTTTCTAATCCCTTTCTTTTGGACAGGTCACGAACTGGCAGAGATAAGAGAACGATCTCTGAAGACTATTCTGTTTAAATTAGATCATAACTTGACTTCGTATGCCGATCTGGTCCATGAAAAAGTGCTTTTCCTTAATCTTCTGGAGTGGTTCAATTTTCCAGTTGTACCAATGAAAGAGGAAGTACTAAATTTTGTGAACAATTTGATCAAGGTATGACATACTAACATTTATTTATATATAAACTATGTGTCTTCAGAATGCTAAAGCTAAATAATGCTGGGTATTATTTGGTTTTGTAGCTCCATGTAATGAGGTTTTAGATAGTTTCAATAAGATGTGAATAATAAAGCCGTGTGTGTGGACAGAAATGAAAACAATTTGAGTGACTTGCAGTTGGTCGTAGGGATAGCAGAAAAAAAAATAATTCTTTTCTGGGTTTCTGCTTTAGTTCCTCTGCTTCTTCAGTTTCTCATTTAGTGTATAACTTCTTCTTTGGGATATGATTTACAGCTAAGCACTTGCACTGTCCCTGAAAAGTGAAGATTTGAACAATGGTGCAACTTATTTCAAAAAAGTTGAGAAAACATTGCAGAAACTTTAGACATCTCATAATACATTCTTACGCTTTGGTCACTAAACAGCAGCTATGCAGAAGAAAAAAAAAAAAAATCCCATCCTTGAAACTGATGGATGGTCTAAACAAAGGCAAAATCTAGCTTAAGTTTTGATTACTATTCTTTCCTTTCCTCCCCCTCCCTCAAGGTCAAGAGACCTTGAGACTCTTCAGGCTAACTTTCAGTTATTTGTCCTAATGTAGCATCCACCTGCTGCCCAGAAAATGATTGGAATTGGTGCAGTGGAATTCTTCTCTCAGCTTCGCCCCAATGTGGATCCAAACTTGCAGGCTATAATTGATGGGATTGTGGATGGACTGTTCTTCCTTCCTTCTGGACTTCCTTCTAGTTCGTTATCAGTATGTTATCAAACTCCGTCTCAGCCTTCAGTAGATCAACCAGGTAAATTACATATTTGAAGTGTGATTTACTTAAAATGAAAAGAATTAAAAAATGAGAAGCTTCCAGACTATGAAAAGTTGAGGTTTTCAGGCATAGTAGGCGAATTATTCCTGAGAGATCAGTGAAGTGTATGGTAAGCAGATTCTGCCAGAGAAAGTGTGATCTTAGCTAAATCAGGTAGTGCATACAACACTAATGGAGTTTTAAAAATCATTCTACTGTGATCACTTACTGCTTCCTTTTTTTGTTTCTTGAAGATTTGAATTGCTCTCAGAGTTAAAGTCTACTATGCAAAGAAAAGTAGCAAAGCATACTGGCTTAATTACAGATTTGTTCAAAGTTGCTACACTGGCTGCCATAAAGCAGTCTTTGGAAGTTCATGTCCCGTGTCCTGCCCTTTTTACATTATAGCAAACAGATATTACATACTGAAGAAATGGACAGAGAAGGTCAGATTACAAACAACAGGACTGTTCTTGTGCAGAGAGTTCCATTACAGGAATGGCACTATCTGCTTAGTTTTGGGTATTTGTCATAGTAAAATATGTAAACTTTGTTTAAAATTTCATATTATGTGTGAAGTGCTATTACTTGCTGCTGTTATCTAGCTTATTATCTATCTGTTACAATGATTTACAGTGCCTCTTGGATGTAGTCAAGAAATAAACCCATGTGGTTCTCTTCTGCCTTAAAAATTTTAGCACAAAGTATAGAGGAGAAAATTATGTACCGTGGAGGTCCTTACTGCATCCTCCTGGTTCTTGTGGGAAAGACACTGCTGTTACACTGCGTGGCGTAGTAATGGCCGCAGCTCTGTCACTCATACTGTGCAACCTTGGAGATGAAAGTAATTTTCCTGTGGTTTCTGCAGCCTGTCTAATGCTTGGAGTTTTATTTTACTAGAAGTATGTGGTGGCTGTTGATTGATTTTTTTTTTTTTTAATTATTTTATTTATTTTTTTCCCCCTCCCTGTGCCCACATAAGGGTTTAGCTAGATTTTTACCTAAGATTGCCACTGTATGGGGGATAATATAATAATCTTTTACATATGCATTCTTAAACTATACCTTTTTGAAACTACCCAACTGAAGTATTGTACATAATTCCTACTTACGCTGTCAATTGTATACATGTGTGGATTGAATAATCTTAATGCTTAGTAACAGGAGTGTTGTATTTTTTCTTTCTATTTCAACTTCAGTTACTGGGCAAAACTGTAAACTAATAATCTGGGCATTATCTAGTTTGATCCTTTGAACCAAATATTGTGTTCTGGAGAGGTTGCTTTTAATGTTACATACCTTGTGTATATTTTGTTATACAGTTTGTGTATTAATTGCATGTGTTTAATAATATACATATTATATGCAGGGGGGACAACTTTCCACCTGACCTGAAAAGACAGCAGTTTTGGTAGAAAAAGGTTTTAAATAGTTCATTTAAAACATTAATTTTATTACTGCATAGGTAGATCAGAGGAAAACATGTTTTGGCTGCCAGTTCTCCATCAGGCAATACGTTTTGTGTAATTGTTTTTACTATTGTTTGTATGGTATGTGAGGTAGTGTAAGAAAACGGAAAGAAAACTTTACAGTTGCAAAATATGATTGTAAAAAACAGACATTGACACACTCTTTTTAGTCCTCTTTCCTGATCATCTGAGACTATTTTAAATCAGTTTCCTTAATAGATTAAAACTCAAGGGCAAAAGGGAGGCAGTTCAGGAAAAGCATGAAGATAAATTGAGTTTTGCTTTTGGTTGTGGTTTTTTTTTTAGTGTACATTTTTTAAGCTTACCCTTTATTTGTTTTAGTTCTACCTCAAGAGGAATTATTCACTGGATATTTTTGTCAAGGTAAAAGTCATCTGCCGCAGTCAGAAATACCTCCCAAAAGAACAGTTGGTATGTGTAGTTACAAGATAAGAATATGTTAACTACAGAAAGTGCTTAGAATTGTAATATAGATTGAATTCCATTACAAATACTGTTATTGGCTATTCTTTTTCCTGTTGCTATTCTGTGAAATCTAGTATTACAGAAACTACAATTATAATGCTTATGAAAATGACATTCATCTTAATAGATCTTTCTCTTTTCTAGTAAATAGTTACTATAACTATTTGGAATATGTAAAGTGTGTTAAAATATGCTGTAATTTAAAAAATTATTTCAATTGCTAATGCTTTTCAGAAGATCTGTGTTCCGTAGTCAAAAGTGGCTGGGGGGGGGTGTTTTTTTTTTTATTTTATTTCAACAGTACTTAAAGTCTGAAGTACCTTTCTGCTTTTCAGAAAACTAGATTAGGTGCTTTAGAAATCTTTACCTTGTATCTAAATGAAAACCAGTGTTATGCTTTTATTTATTTTCAGTAAAATGATATGAAATGTTTCACTGACAAACACAGACCAATATTATTTTGGAAAGTCTTTACCTGTACCAATATAATAGTAACAGTTCACATGACAGTGTCATATTTAACATACAATATGGTGCTGAGAACTAGATCTTAAAATATGACTTTGGAGTTGCTGTATGTAAATCACCTGATTACTTTTTTTAGTGGCTTATCAGCTATCTTTAGAATTGCACAATAATTATATTAGTACAGGCAAAGACTTTCCGAAATATGGTCTGTGTTTGTAGTCTAGAAAGACTGCTAAAGAATATTTGTAACAGAACAAAATTATAACTTGATTGAAAGCATGATGTGGGGGATCGAGTACTCTTCCACTAATGCTGTGTTTTCGATTTGCCAAAACTTACTTCAATGAATGTATTTCATTTTGGTTTGAGATGACCTTAGTATTTTTTTGGTATTGCTGAAAACTCTCATTAGAAGCACTTGAGTTTGTGTGAGTCTATGTTTAGTAAAAGGTATTTCTATTTCAGATAGTGTACGGTTCATAAGTTTTTTACTTTCATGGAAATATACAGTGTAATGCTTCTATAAAATATACTCCAAAATATCCGTTCTCTTTTTTTCAGTGAAATGCTTGAAATTTTCCACATTTCCTTGGCTAACTCTGACTTCAACAGATAGACATGTTCTTTCATCTAATGAAAGGTACAGTAATAGAAACATTACAGTTTGCTTGTAGTTTTTATTTTTCTTGGGTAAGAGTGGTTCTAAAGTTCTGTCCTTCTGCATCATTAGACTGTTCCTGTAAATAACCTAGTAAGTTAATTTTTGATAAATGGTCATAAAAGCTGCGCTGAAGTTGGGCAGAGCCGATAGACAATGAGTTGTAATAGGACAGGTTTTCTGTTAATGTTGCTCTCCATTCTTTGTGTTTAGTTCAGAGTACATTTTATTTTTGTTCATGACACTTCAGTCTGTCTTCTAAATTTGTCAAATAGATCAAAGATTTCATTCAGTTAATTTTATAACAAGCTGGAATAAAATCATTATTTACTTTACTCCTACGGCCACTTGGCAGAGAAATCCATACCTTCAGTAGTACCTTAACTAGGTTTAGGCCAGTAAGTTTAGGTACAATGCCTTATCGAGGCATTGAGTCATTCAGATCACCTTTCTGCAGTGATTTTTTTTTTTTTGGTTTTTAACTTTCATTTAGAAAAACAGTGTTTGAAGTGGCCCAAGGAAAAGTTCTGTAGTTGGGATTCCTTATGAGTTGACACAGAGCTGTGATAATTTCTAGCATAGCCAGCAATGCAGTATCATGGACTGGACCATTTAACAAGTCTACTCTAACTGTAAGCTTTCTTGTAATAGGTTTTTGTTTTCTTTTCCTTTCAAAAGATCTCTGAAGCTGGAAAACCTCTTTAATATTTAATTTCCTTTATGCCTGAGTCTAGAAAAAGAACATAGATCCTTAAAACTGGACATGTTTGACTTTTTTACAGTGGTTTCAGAAACAGTGGTTTCTGAAACAATAAAAATAGAAAAAAGTGAAGTAGAATATCCAAAAGGTTCTTATTATTTAATAATATCCAAGTTAGAGAATAGCTAATAAATTTCTTCCTTTATGTAACTTCCCACATATCTAATTCAAGTGCTTTTAAGTTGTACATGAACCTTGATAACGAAAAAGACTTTCTTATTCGTAAGCGTTAGATTACTTGCAGTATACCACTGAGATAACCACTAGCTTCACAGGGAATTTCCAGTCTTTGTTATCTTAGTTTCAAATTCAGAATCAATAAAGTTATTTCTTTTCTGGGAACTTAATTTTACATGTGGTTTCATAACAGCTGGAATTGAGTTTGTTCTTTATTGTATACAGAATTAGCATAGCTAAGGAATAATTCAAGTTTAAAAATGGTATGACAATAGAATTATAGCATTTTTTTTCTTTAGATTCTTCAGTGTTGTGTTTATAACTTTCTTGTAAAGACTTATTCAAGCTAATGATTACTGGTTGGGTTTTTTTTTTTTTGGTCTTAATACATATTTAAACATGAACTGCATTTTTAGCTCTTTGAGAAGTAACAACCAAAGTTTAATTTGGAGTACATGTGAGCTTCTTCAGGATGTGATTATGCAAGATTTTCCTGCTGAGATCTTCCTTCAAAGGCCGAAGATTGTACAGGCAAGAATTCAGATGAAGTTTAAGGTTTTCATTTTGCTATGGAATAAGTTGTGCCAAGTAAGAATTGATGTAAATGATATAACTTCTTTCTAAACAAAATAGCTAAACAAAAGTTCCTTTGTGTATACTCTAGATGCATAGAAAAGGGGACATTAGCTATATAATGTGTTTAGAAAGTTATTTGGTTGTAATGACATATATCGCTGATCAGTAATGAAGTGTGTTGTGAAGTAATACTTTGTTCCTTCTGGATAAGATAAAATTGTGTCATTGTCATATGCACACTGTCTAATGGGCTCCCATAATGAAAGTAGTGACTTTATTGGAAATATAATGTGGAACTCATCTTTTTCCGTAGGACTGATAGTCTTGCATTCAGTAATAAAACAGTAGTTAAGCCTATTTATTCTTTGCTGTGATTTTTCAACGCTTAGAAACATTTGTGAACTATATTTAGTGCAAGACTCTTTCTGGCATGGTTGTTCATGAAGATGCATTAATGTTCAGCTACCAGTGTTAATGGTTTTGTGTTTGCAGAGCCTTTTGTCTCTGCTAAACCTGGCTTTTGGAGGAGATGGAAGACATCGGTTAGCTTTGCAGGCTGTGTCGTGCCTGCAACAGTTGTGCATTTTCTTGAGAAGCAGACTTAACTTTCACAGAGATCCAAGTTTTTCTTCCGCTGAGCAAGGTGGGTATTTTTAATTATTTGAAATACTATTGTGTGTTTACTACAGGTAAGATTGTCTAAAATGATTTTTTTAAAAAAAAAAAAAAAAAGCCAAACCCACAACTTTTTAGCAAAAATGGAATCTTGAAACTGTTTTGCTAAATGATGGTATCCAGTACTATTCATGTTAGTAAATATTTTTGGAGTAGTTGCATTATTTTAAAATATTTATTCATCTTTACAGTTTCCTGTGTTTCTCCATTTATCAACTTTTCCCAGTATCCAACTGTTTGTACGTCAGCAGGAGAGGGATTTCAAACTAAAACTAAATGAAATCTGTAAAATAAAAGTGGGCAGAGTTTCAGAAAAAATTTTCAAGCTATTAGTGCTTAACAATTTAGTTACTAATTTCATGAGCCACGTTAATTTTCTTTTTTTATTCTGATGGCTGAAAATAGTTTAATCATTGTTTTGGATATTACAGTCATTAAGGCTATTTCACAATGTTCTTAATGCTTAAATTTCGTAGATTTAATAGTATATATTAGTTATAATGATGTTCCTATTTCCATTTTGTCAGCTGAATTTAATCAACTTTGTTTCTATAAATTGGTAGTCTGGTTCTCTTCATAAGATTGTCACTATATTCGGTGTCTTAAACTCAATAAATTATGTTGGCTGTTTCTTTGCTGATTCAGTTATAACATCAACAAATCAAATAGCCTTAGTCAGAGACTATGTATTTTTAAAATTCAAGTTTTATGATTCAGCTGTAATTTTTAGTGGTTTTGCCTTGGAATTGAGTTCCCAAACTCTGCTACTTGCCAGTGATAGGTTGTCCTAGCTCGTCAGTATTTACTTGGTGTTTTCCATATCCTACCTTAGTTACTTTTACCATTACTTTACTATGTAGTATCTTTCAGAATAATGGATTCCGCTAATGGAAAATATATGATTTGTGTTACATAAAGGCACAGCTTCCCAGAATTCATCTATATCTTACTGTCTAGAAGCAAGAGGTCCTCCTCGTTCTCAGAATCCATCACCTGGAAGTAGTAGCCCTCGGCCATCTGTGATTGGACGGACAGTTCAGCGTCCTAGAGGAGATGGTCAAGATTGGGATGCAGCATCTTCCAGGTGAATAAAATAAGAAGAAATTTACACTTCAATTAAAAAATTATTAATATAGGATTATATGATCAGCTCCTTGTCAGTCTGTGGGATGATGTGAGAGTTTCGTTAACCTGTGAAAATTCAAACCATGTTTATGAATTAAACAGTTAGTTCTTTAAGTGGTGTTCAGAATACATAAGATCAGTTTTACCTGCCACATTTTGTACCCAACCAACATTTTTAACAAAATCTCTTAGTATCAATTGTTATTGCTTATGCATGTATTTGTAAGGCGCAGAAAAGCATTTATTCAGACTATTGCTGTAAAGTCAGGGATTTTTCTTTTTCTTCAGCAGATGACCCCGTAAGTTCTTATAAGTTGAATGGCCATCCCATAGGTAGCAGCGTACAGTATTGTCAAAAATGCTATGCTGTATAAAGATTTCCATTAAAGTCTTTAAACTTTGTTGTTAAATCTGACAACAAATTTCAGTTGTATATAATCTAAAAATTCAACTCCAATATGAAATTATGAATTGTCTGCATACCCTCAAAATGTTGAGGTTGTTTGTTTGTGGTTTTGTTACTCATCTTGACACAACAGACTTAAAGCTGCTGTTCAAGAACTAATATTTTTTAGTATGTGGGAATTTGTAAGTTCTTGTGAATCCTTATTGTGTGCTTGTGGTAGCTCTTTTGAGTCTCTATGGTATATTGGCTTAGTGATTGAGCAACTCCTACGTATTCAAATAGACTGTGATATTACAGCTGAGAATAGCTCACATAGTTAATTGTAAATGCATCTTGAGAGTCATTATATTAAAAGGTTATTTTTACTCATCTTAAGTCTAATATATTTATTTTTTATTATGTAACTAATATGGCACTGTAAATGAACTCCAGACTTTATGCATTCTAGGACCTGACCGTTTTCCCCAGTTGAACAGTTAACAGTTTAATAGTAGCTGGTGTATATTGTGCAAGAGATAGGGATGGCCTGGCTATCAGTGTAGTAAGGAAATCTACATAAGAGTAAGCACCAGTTAAGGCTGTGATGAGACATCTACAAACCAGGGAGTGGTAATTTATTAAACGTATAAGGCCATATTATGAGCTGTTCATGATGGTACGCTTTTATCTTCTTGCATCCTGTGTGCTGCAGTAGCGCTGCTCACTGCCCATGAATCCCATTTCTTACAAAGATATAATTTAGTCCAGAGGCAGCATAAAAAAACCCATGATGTTGAATAGAAAATATGATAGAGGGAAATGACTATAGTGTTGCTCTGATGTTGCTGATTTTGATATGGAAGAGCTGCTTTTAGTGAATCTTGTCTTTTTCAACATAATTGTAATATAAATTATTTGTTTATTGCCATTCTATATGTAACTCTTCTTTTTCCTTGTTCTTAAATCTTGAGACTCTTCAATCTATCTGTTTGTCTGTTTCAAATTCTGCCTGGAAACTTAACCTTTCCTCTTCTGAATTTTTTTTATGATTGATACCTCTCCTTCCTTAGCCTCTGGTAAGTGCAATCAGAACCACTACGTATTGGTGAACTCTTATATTTTGCTTATCTCTTCTTTTGACCTCTTAAAATCTGTTGGCTTTTAAATTCTTAATTGCTATTCTTTAGACTTTTTTTACATTTAGTAATATAATATTAGTAATATAATTTAATAAGACAATATAATGTAACACAGTCATGCCACAGTTCAGTTTCTTCAGCTTGTTTAATAATAAAAAAGCAACCAAACAAAAAGCAACTATAAAAGTCATACAGGTTTTTAAAGCAATCCAGGATTGCTAAATGTTGTTTGGGATAAGAAAAAACATTAAAAAACATTTGTCCTGAGTTGTATTAATTATAACGCTGCCAATAGAATTAGATTCTTTTTGAAAGCAGCTGGAAAATAATAAAATTATGAACTATATATAGAGCTCATAATTTTAAATAATTATATATATAAAAGATATATATATATTTTGTAATATATACTTGGTTGCACTTAAGGCTTTCTTGGACAAGGGAATATTTTCTGTTGTACAATGGACAAAGAAGTCCTACAGGCTTAAACGTAGGGCACACTTACTTAATTTTCCTTCTAAGGATTCTTGTGGCTAGCCTCATAGAATGGTTTTAATGTAGCAGGTACAGTTCAGGCTGAAATTTGATTTAGTAAGTGGCCTTGCTTCAAGCAACTGATAGACTTTGTTCATCAAAAGTAATGTTTCAAATCAACTGATTTTTCTCTTGCAGTATCGTATTCATTGCATGTATATTTCTTCCAGTACACATTTCTAAGTGCGTTTGAAGATGACTGCCAAAACAGTAGGCATTCACTTGTGATGCTACCGATTCTGACATTTAAAAAAAAAAAAACAAACAAAATCCCCCTCTTCCTGCAACACTGGTGGATAGCAGAGAAAGACTGGGATAGAAGGAAGGATATGTATTAAGGAAGGAGTACGTTAAAATACTTGATGCTATTTTTAACATCTACACATATACAGGTTTTCTCTTTGCAAGAGTTAACTATGCCTCTTTTTTTTGTTTATTTTGTTTGTTGTTTTAAGTGGAAACAGTACTCAAGCAAATGCAAACTCCAGAATCTCTCTGCATTCCCCACTTGATGTAGGACATATTGACCTACCAGATATTGAAAATGAGGACACTTTGGAATTACAGATGAAGCAGCTTAGCCTTCCTCAGTTCTGTGTTTCCATCTTGGAAAATGCAATACCTCTACTAAGAACAGGTGAGAAAGTTTTGAATTAAGTGTTTCACTTATGTATCCTTCCTATCTTTAGTATAAACCTCTTAAGAAGTTGGGTATTATGAGGTGAGTACCTCAAATAAATGGGGTACAGATGATTACTGATATACTGTAGCTAGTTATAACAGTTCTTTTCTAGGGACTTTGTTCAGGTCATAAAGCTTGACTCTTCTGGTTGATTTCCAGAATTGCAGCGGAAGTTTCAAGTGCTTTTTACTGATGGTGGGAAGTAGTGGTAAGAAGAAATGGGTGTGTGGTGGAAAAATGGTGTGGCTGAATAAAATGTCATTCAAGAAGATGAAAAAATAACCACGCTTAACAAAACATGTGTTCTGACCTCTTTGAGCATAGAGTTTTCCTCCTGTTCAAGAAATAATAAACAAAAATTCTGGGAAGAGGTTTGTTTTTATTCTTATGAATGCAGTAACAAATTCTAATTATATTTTAAGAAACATAAGTGATGATAGTCTAATTGCAACTAATGATTTTTATTTTAACTTACAAAAGTTCTAAATTGCAAAGCCTTTTTGAAGGACAGTCTTTTTGCTCTTAGGTTGTCTAAAATAGTATTTAGTTGTAAAACAATGTCATTCAAAACAGGTATTGGTAAACATGGTAAGGTTTTCAAATATAGGAGCTGGAAGTGTATATCTATCTATGACTAGAATACTAAAAGTTGTTTTTTTTAATATACCTGTCAACATTTCCTGAGTTGGGTAGAGGCTTTAACTTACAAAAACTATATGAAATATGTATGAAACTTCCATTTACTGTTGTTTTCATGATTGTTTATAACTTTTTATGACTTTCTGTTCTGACAAAATACTAATTTACTTGTGTATTTCATAGTAACATCAGCATTAATCTGCTTGTCCACAAGAAAGTTATTAAATCCTCATTTTTTTGGTAATAAACCAAACTAAAATGACTAAAAGTTTTGTTTTCCCCTTTCAGAATAGTGATATTTAAATATTAATTCTTCACAAGCATATTCATGACTTCTGGCATCTCATTTATAATGTAGAACTGCAGAAAATGTATTTCCTATCTTTTCCATTTCTGGTGCACGTCACTTCAAATCTGCAGAGTTAAAATACAGTGATTTTTTCCATCTTTCAAGATTCTCTCTTTGCATCTTATCATAGAACTAAAATAGTTTCATTTTCAGATGAAGTTGATCTGTCTTTGTTTCTCTTGCTGTCAGTATATTCACACTTTTTAAACTCTACTAGATCATATTTCTTCTTTCTTCCACTCTGCTTTAGTGAGACACAGATTGTAAGCAAACTAATATTTTTATCCTGTTCCATTGATCTGAAATCCTGTGATCTGAAGGCACACTGTACTACTGTGAGACAGTGACACACAGTAACACACTGTTTCTTATATGGTTATGTTTTCTGAATTGTTTTCTTCAGTAAAATCAACAGGCGCTTTTACTAACGTTATTATCACCTTATATGGTAGATATGGTATAGTGTAGATTTTCTTCTAAAACTTTAAATTACTGGGTAAAGGAAAAACAGTAAGCTTAATGTAAAATTTGCTTGCTTGTATTTTACAATATAATGTAAATTTCATTTAAGCTCAAATTCTGTTCCTTGTGGAGATGCTCACTGGAATTTTTCTTCCTTTGTGCTGACCTGTCTGGAGTAAAGTCATTTCAGAAATCAATAGTGGTGTGGGTTTTGGGTTTTTTGGTTTTGTTTTGGGTGGTTGTTGTTGGTTTGGTTTTTTTTTTGTGATCTGTTTTAAGCTACCATACTTGTCTGAAGTTCAGTGTTAATACTGCATGTCTTAAACACAATTATTTAAATCTGAACAGCAAAAGATTTGTTTTACAGTCATAGATTATACCTGTTTTACTGTGCATTTAGTAATAAAGAACTCTTAGCACATACTAATTGCCACAGGTGTTGGGAAATGAGTATTTTGCTGATATATTCATGTAAGAGTATGGTGGAATGAACTTGCATGTCTGTATATCATGACAGCTACAGCCAAGTGTTGTTGCAGATGTTATGTTTAGTTATTAACTTAAAAATATTTCTGAAACTATAACTCAAAACTACCATTATTTAATACTTGCATTATAATGGAGAAATACTAAGTCACCTTTCAAATGTTTTAAGCACAGAGATTTCATTAAGAACTTGCAAAATAATTGGGAAGAGACAAAAAGTGCTTTTTGGCATTTTCTGCCATGCACTCTTCAAATTGGCAACGTTTTGCCTAAAATAAATGGAAAACAGCACTTCTGTGAGATAGGAAAAAGCAAGCTTTCAAAAAGGCCCTGTGCCATTCTCTGCCATACGTTCCCTCAGAGCAGATCACTTAAGCTGCAAATTGCATGAGCTGTGGTCAGTATCACTACGTATATAGTCACACACACACAAATATTTTTTTTTTCCTTAAGTATATCAACAAGGCTTCTACAATGTATAAAATCTACAAAAGATAGAAAAAGTGACAAAGAAATTAATGTTCAATCATAACAAGGAGTAGAGCTTGCTTTTTTTTTTTTAAAAAAAGGTTTTGAAGGATGCACAATTTTTATGGTAGTTAAAAAATAAATCAGAAATTCAGTGGTGGTGTGTGAAATTCATCCATGGTTTTAAATAGAAACATACCATCAACAAGTAACTAAGCCAACAGTTGCACTAAATCGAGTATTTGGGGGAAGCTGTCACTGTATGGTTCCCTAGGATGCCAGACAGTTTTGGCATCCTCTGTTGTATGAGGTTGAAAATATTTGGTCTGGCTTCAGATATTGTGCCTTGTAATTCATGAGACCTTCTAGCCTTTGACTGCTTCTCCTCTATTGTCTCATTATCTGGGGACATTAGGGGGAGGTTTGTATTTGTGGTAAATGTAGGGCGTAAATGTTTAAGCTCGGGCCAAGTTTCTTTGTGGCCCCGCGTTCAAGCATAAAATGCACAAAGTATAAAAGTCACTAATAGACAGACCAGATTAGCCTTGTTATTAAGAGATACTGAGTCAGAAGGAGCAATGAAAATGAATAAATATTAGCCTAAAAACAAGGGGGGAAAATTGTTATGGAGAAAAGTACAAGTGGATAGAGTGGGTATTCATCTCCTTGCCTTTCAAAAGAAGATCTCAAATGAAATAATCTGGGAAGAAAGCCACTCCTGCTGTACCAAAAATGCAGATTAACGGGAATAGGTAATACATATGGAAGATCTGTAACCTAGCTGCCTGGGTGGGGGAAATAAGTGACTTCATTCTGAACTGTCAAAGAAGTCCAGTAATCGGATTTACAGCTGTAATAAAGTTTATGTAGTACTATAGGATTTAAGGAAATGCAGTCTTTCTTCAACTATATGATTGCTTTAATCTCTTCTATTGTGATTTTGACTAGTTGTTGTCTTCCGTGATTCAGAGCTGTTGGTGGTTGAGGGCAGTTAGCATTAGTTTAGTAGAAGTATATAGGAAAATTAAAATATCAGAATTTGAGATTTGGAGTAATCCCTTGTTCAAAATGGTGTTTTCTGAATATAATAATATAATATTTTGTCTCTATTTGAATTCATCCTCTCATTTGTATTCCCAGGAAGTAGGAGGGTAACGATGGAAGTTCTTGAATTGCTTGTTGAAGTCATGTTCCTTATTGGTGATGCTATGTCTGAAAATGTTTGGGAAGATGATAGCCTTTTTGCATTGGAATTGGTAAGATTCTTTAGGCTTTGATCAGCTGTATTTAGCAGTCTGCTTTTATAAGCCTCTGACATTTTCTGCAGTGATTCATATACATATCTAATCTTCTGCTGAGTTACCCTTTTGAAAATCTTAAATAGTTTATTACTAGTTCTATCACTGGCACATTCTTTTTTAAAATAAATGTAAGTTCTTTTACCAGATAATACTTGAAGTTTCACCTCAAGAAAATATGTAATGAATTCTGTCTTGTAGTGGAAGGCTGTTAAGCAGCCATTGAGAGAAACACATGTAGGGAAGGGGATTTGAGGGAAAAGTACTGACTACAAATGTTGGAGACCAATTTGATGTAAATGACAAATTTCACTTTGTCTACTCCTTATAAACTATCTGTTTAAAATTAGGGAGATAACTGTTTAGATCCAAGACTGGAATTGTAAGATACATGGTATCCATTTCCTACACAGGACCTATAGATCCCTGCACAGATTTCAGCTATCCTTAACTGTTGCTTAGCTGGGAAAGAAAGGACAAGGCTTTTTGGCCCAGGAGGGATTCAAAGTGTTAAGGTGCTGTTGACCAAACAATTTCAATTGCTGGAAATACATACCTAAGCATGGTTGAGAGTTGTTATATACATGAAATATCAAATTAGTGAATAACAGATGAAATAACAATGGGTGACTTGCTTTTTTGAAGACAACTGAAAGCTGAAACATAAACCAGCATGGCTTATGCACGTAACAGACATACCAGAGTTGCAGACTGAAACTTATCTAAAAACTTGAGTTAAGTGTAGTCTTAAATGCATGACTTAAGTTAGAATTCATGAAAATACCACTGAATATGAAACAATGGTATTGCAATAATTATTAATCAAAATATTACTGTAGGCTTCCCTATTCTCTATTTTACAAATGGTAATATTTATATTATTTATAGGACCTAGCAGTGAATGAGAACTTTTTGCTTTGAATTTAGTGTACTGACCTGTCAAAATCTATTACAATTGATCAACATCAAATCAGTACTGAAGATTGCTTGCAGAACATTTAATCTAAGAAGCTTAATATGATCTTTTGTCTAGTTGTTGTATGACCTGAGTCAGTATATTCCATTGCATATAAATCTGTCAAACTACAGTAGAAAATGTGAGCATCATCACACGTACATCATACTGATTGTTGTTAGTAGACTACTAACAAGCAAAACTCTGCAAATAAGCTGGGTAATTGTAAACAATTATATTGATTTTTAAAAAAGAAAGGAAAAAAAAAAGCTTTGCTGATATAACTTTATTCCATTGGTAGCACTTTGAGATTTATTAGTAAAACACTTTTCAGATGTAGAATTCACCTCCCATTGAAAGTTAGGAATCTGCATCAATTTGTGATGCAGAGCTGGACTGTGCAGTGCAATTCAATAAAGTTAATTTTGATAAAGCAATTGCAAGGCAGGAGATAAAAAACAGCTCTTCATCTTTCTTAGTGTTTGAGCAAATAAAAATAACTGAATGGACAATTTTAAGAAACAACCGTTAAACTTACCTTTATATTATTTAGTACTATATCAAATAAAATGTCTTTTATCAGAAGTAGACTGTTTTTAGAGTTGCTAGGCTTCAGTGCTTAGAAAACATGCTTCCTCTTTGTGTTTTGTATTAGCTCCAAGGGAAGGAGGTCATGTGTCTCCTTTCTAGGAAGCTTGAAAGCATTTCTTGCATAACCTTACTGCTTTGTGTTTCTTTGTTTATCCAATTTTAAAACTCTGCACTGGAATATCTTTGTGAAAAATACGTATTTTGGAAATCCATTCAAAAATACATAGTTACAAACTTAAGTATTTTACCCATGTTTTTATGCTTCCTTCCTCCCAAGTAAAGTTTTTACTGTTTTCCAGTTTAGTCACGTGTACTTAGGTGCAGTTTTGAGTTTGCCACATCAAAAAGTTAGATACTGCAGATTGCCATAGCCCCTCAGCGTTTTTTGGATCACTAGCTTTGAGACAGTCATCCCTGTCTCAGGGAGGAATAAACTTTTTGACTCTACTGTTGATTTGAGACTTCATGGTCTTGAAGCAGAGGCTCTTCCTGCTTCTGCAAACTGTAGCAGGGCAGAGAGAAACTTACTTTTTAACTCCTGAAGATGAAAATGAATCCTTTTCATCTTACTGTGTAATAACGTGTGTTGATAATGACTTTAAAAGACTGATTCGATTTAGTCAATTGCTTGTCATTTTCTTCAATTTCAACTATGTTGAGTCAGATAAATAGTGCTTAATTGCTTAATTATCAATTTCTGAAATTAATAAGCTAAATCTCATATGTGCTATTGCCTTCTTAATTGTTATTTGGCATTCCAAAACTGGCAACTGAAATTCATTGTACCTTTTTTTTTTTTTTTTTTTTTTTTTTTTTT